AGAACTGGAATCTGGAACAGAACTGGAATCTGGATCAGAACTGGAATCTGGATTAGAACTAGCCTAGTAAACTAGCTCCACCCGCCAGTGTCCAAAATGCGAGTGGTCTAGCCTCGATCAATGCCCCAGGCCCTAGATCTGGCGGGCCAATCACAACGCAGATATTTGTTTTGAATTTCTGGATGCAAAGTGGGCGGGGTTTTGAGGGCATGACGACAAAGCCAGAGAAAATGGCAGCAACTATTGAACAGTTCTGGTTTGATTCAGCTTTGGAATCAGTTCTGGAAGGATCAGACTGAGTTTTTGTTGAAACGTGAGCAGGAAGAGGCTCTACGCTCATTCATTTTTAAGAAGGACATATTCGCCGTTTTACCGACAGGTTGTTTGTTTCCACCCCCCCACCAGCTTCCTGTGGCGCTTCCTACGTCACAGTCAGCGGCTCTCATTGGTCAGAGCGTTGGCCAATAGGAACAGACATGGTTTGAAAGACAACGGGTTGATCTCATCAACAATCTTCCAATGTCTTGTTCATCAGGGCCAGACTAGATTACACATTTAATCTCACATTTAGTCTGGTTTATCTGGCTAGATCAGAATAGGAATCTGGATCAGATCTGGAATCTGAATCGGAACAGAATCTGAACCAGAGCAGGAATCTGGATCAGAGCTAGAATCAGGATCTGATCTGATCTGGAATCAGGAATCTGGATTAGATCTGAAATCTGAATCAGAGCTGGAATCTGAACCAGAACAGGAATCTGGATTAGATCTGGAATCTGAATCGGAACAGGAATCTGAACAAGAACAGGGATCTGAACCAGAGCAGGAATCTGGATCAGAGCGAGAATCAGGATCTGATCTGGAATCAGGAATCTGGATTAGATCTGAAATCTGAATCAGAGCTGGAATCTGAACCAGAACAGGAATCTGGATTAGATCTGGAATCTGAATCAGAGCTGGAATCTGAACCAGAACAGGAATCTGGATTAGATCTGGAATCTGAATCGGAACAGGAATCTGAACAAGAACAGGGATCTGAACCAGAGCAGGAATCTGGATCAGAGCGAGAATCAGGATCTGATCTGGAATCAGGAATCTGGCCCCCACCTCTCTCTGTCTAGTAAAGAAAATCCAAGAGGAAAGCAGGACCGCGTGAGTCTGCAGCCAGTGGGGTAGGTTTGCGGCCCCACCCAGACACGAGGCCGTTGGCCTCTGAGCGGGGGGGGGGGAGCTTAGCGGTGCGTCTCCATTAAAGGAGTCCACTGGGACTGCATGGGCCGATCAATGACTCCATGGATCTGGGTTGTGTTTCCACAGTCCTGCCTGAACCTGGGAGCTCCTGGAGCAGCACATCCCGTAGCTGACCGGTTCAGAACCACAGAACCCACAGTGGAGCGGGTTTCCATCCACACCCCCTCCCTTTGGGCCCCCATGCTCATTGTGTGCGGGCTCCAGGATATCTGTGTTCAGATGGTGCAGACGCCTTCCGTCTCTTTGTCCAGATATTGCTTCACCTGTGGACAGTGTGAGGCTTTCAGAGGGACAGACGACGGGCTGTAAATGTGTCTGAGTCCCTGAAGGACGTCCCTTTGACTTCCTCGGCCAGATGTCCCTTTCAGGGGCTGTCGGTGCCCCGTCGTCACTTGAATGAGGCCTCAGCGAGCACAAAGGGAAGCGTTGGCTGAGCACCGCGTGCTGATGCTGCTCTCAGGGATGATGTAAGTCGTCATGCAAATTGATACCACATTGTGCGCTGATAATCCGCAGAGAGCTTGAAGTCGATCAGCTGGATAAGTGATGCAGCAGAAGCCTGAGAGTGTGTGGTCTGCCCCCGATTCAGCTCTCATCTGTTTGCTCGGAGCAGCAAGAGATCATAGAGGCAGGAGGAAAGGCCGGAACCAGAACCCACTGGCTGCTGCTGATGATGAGGATGATGATGATGATGATGATGTTCTGTTGTTATCGGAGGGACCCACAGCAGCTCAGTCTCTGATTTCATCCCATAATAACCAATAAAGCTCCACTGAACAGCAGCTAATATTTTCCACTTAAAATGTCTTTTTTCTCCTAAATGATAAAAAATCTCCATCTCTAGAAACGTGTCATTTGGCAGTTACTTTATTTACATTGTTCTTCTCTTATTTTTAATTAAATCATCGTCATTTATTTGTAGAGTGCTCAATCTGACTGGATGATCTGGTTGAACTGTAAAGTGCCTTGAGATGACTTATACTACGCTATATAAATAAACTCAATTTAATTTAATTGAATTAAAATATCTACAACTGAAAACGAATTGCTATACATGGTTAAAATAATAGAACTCAATAAAAGCAGTAAAAATATATAAAATAAGGCAATAATAATTTCTTTTAACTAAATAAAAAAGTTCACAACAAGTCTAAGTCCTGCCGGTGTGACATGCAGATAAAAGTCTTTTAGCTGAGTTTTAAAATCTGAAAGTAAAGGAGCCTTTCTAATCTGCAGCAGAGGTTCTTCCATAAAACAGGAGCAGCGATAGAGGAGGCGTCGCCCCGAGAAGCTTCCTCTTTTAAACCTCGGAACCTGCAGGAGCTGCTGACCTGAGTGAAGAAGCTCTGAGGGGTCAGATGTAGAAAAGTCAGCTTAAAAACAAAGATACACATTTTATAATCAACTCTATAATGAACAAGCAGCCAGTGGAGCCAGGAGAGGATTGATGTGTTCATTTCAGTTAAACCTATTTCTATAGCTCCAATTCACATCATGTCATCTCACTTTATAGATCCAGATCAACCAGATCATCCAGTCAGATTGATTCAGTTTTCTA